AGAAAGGGATTTGCTCTCTTTAATTTCCTTTGGAATAGAATTCCAAAGGAATGATCCATCATACATAAAACTTTTTTTCAAATTATTAGTCCGGGGTTGCGGTAAACGAAGAGTACTTGAAACGTTTCGAAGATTATAGCTAATCATCTCACTTTTATAAGTGAATAAGTTAGTGAGTGATGGAGGGCCCATGTTATTTAATAATTTATACATCATTTTTGCCTTGGCTTTCTTCCTTTCTACTTTAAGTGTCTTCCAGCCCAATGCTTGCAATGCTACAGAATGATCTGTGTCATTGCTCATATTCATGATAATTCGAGCAGCTCTATTTTGGAGTTTTTGAAGTCGTTTTGATTGTGTTTCACCGAACACATCCCATACTTCACAGCAGTAATCGAAGTACGGGCGAACAATAGCATTATAAACAGAAAGAAGCGTTTGCCTGTCAACAAAATCCTTTAAACGTCTAAGAGCACAAATTCCTGATGTTATTTTCCTGCAAATATTTTCAGTGTTACTTTTCCACGACAAATGCTGGTCGACTGTCACACCAAGAGTTTTGCACTCATGCACTTGTATAATCTGTTTGTTTTCAATTACCACATTTGGCTGCAAATTTGAAACGCTTTTAATCATTTGTTTTGAGCCAATTAACATAAATTCAGTTTTTGCAACATTGACGCTAAGTTTATTGGCAATTAGCCATTTTTTTAGGTTTTCTAAATCAGAATTCACTGCAGCTTCAAGACGAGTTATCGAGTCGCCAGAAGCTGTCAGGTTTGTGTCATCAGCAAATAACCGAGGTTTTGTTTTTGATAGACATTGGGGCAAATCATTGATGTACAATAAAAAGAATAATGGCCCTAAAATAGAGCCCTGTGGCACACCACATCTAATCACTTTCTCCGATGACAAAAATCCATTTATTTGGCATTTCTGACTTCGATTTGAGAGATATGAATTGAGAAAAGATAGTGCCTGGCCTTTTATACCATACAGCTCCAATTTCCTCAATAAAATTTGATGGTCGACTGTATCAAATGCTTTTTTTAAGTCAATTTGGACAACCAGGTTAAACATTTTTCTGTCTAAATTCACATACCAGTCATTTGTACAATCTAATAATGCAGTAGCCGTAGAATGAAATTTTCGAAAACCAAATTGGCTATCACTTAAAAGTCTAAATTTGGATAAGTAACTGTACAGTTGATTATACAGAATTTTTTCCATAATTTTGCTAATGGCTGGCAGGACAGAAATTGGTCTGTAATTTCCTGCCACATTACGTTGGCCATTTTTGTATAGAGGTATTACTCTAGCCATTTTCCATTCATCTGGGAATGAGGACAGAGTAATGGCCTGATTAAAAATATGTGTTAGTGAATCTGAAATAGCAGGTGAAGCAATCTTAATAATTTTGCAAGAAATTTTGTCGACACCTGTGGCTTTGTTGCTTGAGAGACCAGTCAGAAGTTGGTAGACGTGATTGACCGTGACAGGTTGGAATGCGGTAAATTCTGATTCAGTATTTTTGACATATGTTTCAAAGTTCAAATTTGAAGTATTAATTTGGCTAGCTAAATTTGGGCCAATATTTGAAAAATAATCATTAAAACCCTCTGCAATATCTTTAGGGTTAGTTAAACTATTTTCACCAAGTCTTAGTTCATTTACAATTGTTGGTTTGTTTTGTCTTCCCAATAAACTGTTTATGGTGTTCCAAGCTTTCTTAGGATTGGACTTATCACCAGCAATTTTCGTGGAATAGTAATCTTTTTTGGCATTTCTTAGTTCTATATTTACTTTATTCCTAGTTCTTTGATAACTTAACCAATCATTTTCGAGGTTCGTAATAATGGCTTTTCTTTTAAGCTTGTCCCTTGTATTAATAAGTTCTTTTATGGAACTTGTAATCCAAGGGACTCGTCTTGTTCTGATCTTTTTGTTTTGAAGGGGTGCATGTTTGTCTAAAACTTCTAAGAATAGCATTTTCCAAATTTCCCACTTTGCATTTGGAGTTTCAGCAAAAAAATACACATTTTCCCACTGTTGTTGCATCAGATCCTCAACAAATTTTTGGGTATCAAATTTCTTCATATTTCTAATTTCAATTGTGTTTTCTAGTTTCTTAATAATAGAGATCTTTCTAATTGCAAAAACTAAGCTATGGTCACTTATTCCAGTATGGATAACACCAGAATCAGAAATTTTTCCTGGAGTATTAGTAATTATGTGGTCAATAAGGGTGGAGGTTGTCATAGTTACTCGGGTAGCTTCCTGAATTAATTGTGACAATTGATACAATTCATATAAAGATTTAATTTTCTTTATCGGCATATTTTCATTACCTGTCTTTAACATATCACAATTTAAATCACCAAGAATATAGAATTCTTTATTTTCATCATCGAAAGTTTTGATTAAGTTTTCAAAATGCTCAAAGAAATCTGCTGATGCATTGGGTGGTCTATAGACTGTTGTGACTAGAAATGGTTTGCTATGTGGTTTGATAATTTCTATGCAAACAGCCTCTAGTTCAGTGGGAATCAGATCATTCCTTATGTTGTAGTTTATGGAGCTACGCAAGTAGATACATACTCCACCCCCATTTCTCCACCCCCATTTCATCCTCTAATTAATAGAAGCCAATCAAATGCTTACTTCACAAACCAGTTTGTGAATATTATTATGAACTTTTAATAATATATTCCTTCTGTTACATGAACTTTATTAAAATGAGGCCAAGGGAAAGTTCGATACCAAATATATATTGAAGAACTTTTAATAATACTATTTCTTGTAGCAACATTCATTATTTCGCTCGCAATTTCACAGGAAAGACACGCATGCATAAGTCACTCATTTTCGCTGCCATTTTGAGCCTCCGACAACCACCAGAACACTTTGACAGAAGGCAAATTTTTGTCAAGGATGCATCACCCATGCGCAGACCTTTTCCCGCGATGTTCGGCAGTCAAGGAAAACTTGAGAGGTATTTGCGCAGTTCGTCACATATTAGAAGTTTGAATAAGCATTATTTTAATGCTGGTAAATGATTTCGTGAAAAACAATAGTGGCATTATGGCTTCGACAAGCCGTAGTCCCTGGGCAAGCCAACTAAGTTGACTAGGTTAGCCTGAGAACTCACTAAATTCCTATTCCATGTTTGAAATTAGCGGGTTTTGCAGGCTAGAGAGTCAAGCGAGCAAGATCATCGAAAAACGAATTTTTGCCAAAAAATCTTGAATCATTAAAATCTCTAAAAAGTTTACCAAAATTTTAACTAAAAAATTTTCATCAATAAAATTTTCCCAACATTGACGAAATTTTACCAAAAGTGAAATATTTTACCAAGTCTAGTCACAATGGTACGGGGCCTAAAATCGCATTGCTTACCATCCTCCAAAGTTGTGACATTGACAGGTTCGCTTGGAATTCCGTTGCCTTTCTCAGAATAGGGACAAACCACCATTCTATGCGGAGTGAATTTTTTCAGCTCTTCCAAAGTCTCCAAGAGATTGGACGCACGAGCCACACCAATTTTCTGGTAACTGTCCGCTGACGTTTGTTTATAAAATAATATATAGCCAAGAAGAGATTTAGTATCAGCAGTCTCGGCTGAGGGTGGCAATGCTGGCCATTCGGTCTGAATACTGGTGGAACTCGAAGCGTTTGCTTGCAGAGAGAGCGGAGAGGAAAACACTAGAAAGAAAAATATTTTATTAGAAAGTTTTGGATTGATAGAGATGCAAATAACTAACCTAGGCCTTCGCGCGAAACGGCGCACCAGACAGGGCCATCGAGAGGGGGGGGCAGGGACAGGGGCGGGCAAATTGCCCCGGGCCGCAATCGTAATAGGGCCCCAACTTGAGAGCGAGAGCCTAAAATTGAGTAGGTTCTTTAAATTGGTCAGAGCATTCTTGAAATTAGGGCCCCTTACAGTAGCTCCTTGTATTTTTCAGGTGGTTGGTACAGGGTTCTCTACAGTTGTGAGTGGGACAGGTAAAACAGGTTTTTCAATAGGTATAAGTCACACCAAGGATTGTAAAATAACTGGATAGGAAACTTCCTGACGTCACAGTCTAAACCTAGTTGCAATCTGTAACGTCACGCGTATTGCCAAAGTTCTCAGCATTTTTGTTGTTTCGCTATATTTTCCGCTTTAAAAAAGTAATATTGAAGCATAAACTGGTCTAATTGTTTTAAAAACATGCCTAAGCAACGACAAAGTATTCAAGGTAAATGTTTTTCGTCTTTGTTTTGCATTTTTTTACATTTCTAGCTACGAAATTGGCGTCGCCCATTTTAACGAAATTTGCGATGCATTTTTCACTGTTTAGTGCTTGAAATATTTGCTAAAATTGACTGGAAATACTTAGAGACTTCATCGTAGAATGGCGTAGTTATATTTATTTGCTCTTTGATTAAAATGTTTAGCTGTATTATTGCTAAACATGCCGTTTTTGAGAATTTGGTTTGCAACTAGGTTTGAACATCCAACCACGCCATCAGTCCATTGAAAACATTAGGTCACGTCAGCTAGTCTCCTATCCATTTATTTTATTATCCATGGTCACACCTACAAACCTACGCAAAACTTACTGAACTTCAGACATCATTTTCTCTTTGGCTTGGCGTACCATCTAAAATCTCTTCACTTTAGCATTATTTTATAGATAAAGCACTAAACATACTTTTTAAGTTTGTTTACCGCTTGAGAAACGTATCGAAAATTTAAAAAATTGAATTTTGTCATAACCAAGTGGAAAAGTATGTTCACTAGTTTTGAGCGCGTGTTACGTGACGTACAATAGATTCTCCTCATGAATAGGTTTGTCTTACCATTTTCTGACGTCATGCTATGAAGCGTGGTTTGGCTTGCTGGAAGCAGCAATTTATCCTGAAGAACGACCAACTCATCCTTAGAGACAGACTGATAGTTGAGATTCAGTCGACATCTCACCGCATTGTTCTGACCAGCGCTAAACAGAAAAAAATATTTCAATACATTTTGACCACGTAAGGATAGCTTCATTTACTTCACAGTGTTTCAGATATGAAGATTCCAGCCCTCTGTCCCAATTATGGCAGCAGTGATGGTAGCAAAAGACATGGAATGCGCCCCATTTCCAAACATGGCACATGTCCACCCCTATTTTCAAGTACACACGTAAAAACGCACAAGTTGTTACAGGTCTGCAAACAAGTTGTTACAAATCTGTTCACAAGAGCTCGACAAGTTGTGTTCGCACTGCTTGTTCCCAGTTGTTGTAACAAGTTTGATGGCAGCATCAAGTTATATCACTAATTTACTTTTACCATTTAGCAAAGTACATAATTTAAATACTCGTGGCTCCACAAATAACAACTTGAAGCTTCCAAAAGTAAACACTAATGCTGGTAAACGTACTTTTGCCTTCTTGGCAGCTAATGAGTGGAATCTATTACCTGATAGTGTGAGATGCTCGACATCATTTTCCTCATTTCGTAAAAACTACATAAATTTGGCCTTTTCCACACTCAAGGATAATATCTGACTTGTGTTTATAACAATTAACGATCATTTTTAACCCTATGTATATATTTTTAGACTTAGTAACTCTTTATATTGGTATTTATAGTCTTAGTATTAATAGACAGTATATTACTTAGGGCCTAGATGAAAATTACTTCGTGTAACTCTAGTCACCCTGTTTAAATAAAGTGTTTATTATTATTATTATTATTATTATCATCAGACTTGTTACAAGGTTGTTCTAACAAGTCTGATACAATCATGATATAACAAGAACGTTACAAGGTTGATGACACAAGGTTGTAACAATATTGTTGTATCATGACTGTATCGGACTTGTTGGAACAACCTTGCAATAAGTCTGATAATGTCAACAAGGTTGTTACAAGTTGTTAACAGCTTGTTCCAACCTTGTTGACAACTTGAGACAAGCAGTGCGAACACAACTTGTTGACGACTTTGTTGGCACCATCAGCAGCTGTGTTGTCATCGTCATTACCCACACACGCAAAAATCTCACATCTTGTAGCAATTCTGCCAACAAAGTCGTCAACAAGTTGTGTTCGCACTGCTTGTCCCAAGTTGTCAACAAGTTTGGAACAAACTGTTAACAATTTGTAACAACTTTGTTGATATTATCAGGCTTGTTACAAGGTTGTTCCAACAAGTCCGATACAGTCATGATATAACAGTATTGTTACAACCTTGCGTCGTCAACCTTGTAACATTCTTGTTATATCATGATTGTATCAAATTTGTCAGTTGTTCCAAATATATTTCGAAAATTAGGTATCGTCTAAGTAATTTCACAACGAAAAATGCCCCAATCATTGTATCGATCAACTGTTACGTCTATAAATATAAATTCGTTTGGTAGTTTAATTGATGTAATTAAGTGGGCGTCATTTTATCTAAATCGTTGCACCCTGAGCCTGCGATCCCTTGGTGGAATGTCACGTTGTGACACCCAAAAAAAAACTACGAAAAATACAGAAAGAGTCCCATTTTAAACTACTGGCTCTGCCAACCGGAGTAAAAAGTTGAATTGACTTACTTGCATGATGTAAAGGTGATGGCTGGAGGAAATCCCTGGTAAACTGAATTGATCTGAAAAATTGAGAAATATATCTAAGTTTGAGTTGCTTCTAACTTTCTAACAAATTTATTTTCACACTCACCATTCCTGTAACAGTGTTTTGAAATGCCGGCACGTCATTTTGATATTCACTCAATGTCACTGCATTGAAGGTTACATCTAGCTTTATATCAGCAGCTGGAAGGGAAAAACATCAACACACTTAATTAAAACAGTTAAATAAGGTTTTTGTCGAAATCAGTTTCAAAGTTATGACGTTATGCACTGGAAATATGAAAAACGAAATGTGGAAACACGACCAAAACAATATGGAAACAACTTCAAAAATATAATCAAGAAATATGAACGAAAACATTTTTATGAAAGAAAAAAGGAACGATTTGGGGGAAAAACTGGTTATTATTTCGACGAATTGAACAGGTGAGGATTTTTTTTTCATCGGGTCGTTCCATTTAATATCCGCCCCCCCCCCCCTTTAATATCTGACCTAACCCCCCCGACTTGCAAGTATAAATTATCCGATTCCTACAGGTAAAATTTTGACAAAAGCTCATCCGTACGGGGGGGGAGATAGTAAATGGAAAGAATTTTGGAAAAGAAATCGCATATTCCTTGGGTTTAGATATTTATTGTCGTTTCCAAAGTACTTCTTGGAAGTCTGATTCGTACAGGTAAAATTTTGGACAGAACTCATCCATAGGGGATAATAATGGAATGACCCGTCTGACCCGGGCGTATAATAAATGGAATGGCCCGTCTTTTAAATGACCAGTCTCAGTTTGTGATCAACTTCAGCCTTCAGTTTTTGATACCACAAACTTAGAGAGCCTGATAATTCTGCAAATCATGCTCAACCTCATTCAATAATTGCTAACTATCCACATTACTTACAAGAGCAATCATGTGTGTTGCATTCATTAGATTCAAGTGATGGTCCAGTACAATTCATTCCTCCATACATCGGGGTAGGGTTAATACATGATCGTTTTCTGTCTGATGTGCCAGTACCACATGGTTTGTTACAAAACATCCAGGGACTCCAATTTGTAAAACCTCCGTCAACTGCAAGGAACACGTCCATAACATGTTGAAACTGCACGCAAAGGCACAGGATGGCAGGGCTGCAAATTACTGTCGGACAATGTCTGACTAAATTTGGCAAATGTCCGAACAAAAGTAATTTTGATCGGACATTGGTCCAATCACAAAAAAAATTGTTGTTACGTTATACACTTTTTGCTGTGACAAAATCCGATTGCAAATTCACTCAATTTGCATTTTGCAATAAAATTTGCGAGGCATTCTAGCATTTTACTTAACGTTGCGCCGGAATGGCTATACATACTTGTCTCGTGACTTATATATATCTTGTGATGTATAACTATATATGTCCGACCAAATTTAGTGGTGTTGGTTTTTGTCCGACCAAATTCAAGTTATGTCCGACCAAAATTAGAAGTGATCGGACAAATGTCCTGTCAAGTCAAATATTCATTTGCAGCCCTGGGATGGTTTACTTTCTAACATGCCATTTAACTGAGTACTGTCTCCCAGACCTGCAGCCAACTATACATGTAAAAACGTACAAACCTGCAGCAGACTTGTAGCAATGCAGTTCCAACAACTTAGCAACAGGATGTGTTCGCACTGCTTGTTCCAAGCTAGCCTGCGAACAGGCTAGTTCCAAGCTTGTTGAAAAGTTGTCAACGACTTGTTTACAATGATGTTTGTGATGTTACTCTGAGTGTATAACCACTTAGAGTAACATCAGAGGAACATCACAAACATCATATTCACCTGAGTACACAACACCAACACAGAAAAAAATCATATGACTTGTTTACAACTTGCTACAAGGTTGGTGAGCTCAACAGACTTGTTACAAGTTGTTCTAACAACTTGTTAACAATTCAACAATATGTCAACAAGTTGTGAGTGACAACCTTGTAGCAACTTGATAAAATAACAGCATTGTTACAACTTGTTGACAAGTTGTAAGATTTTTACATGTGTAGGACAATGTTCATTTCTTAGTTCAACTGAGTGTCGTCTCTCTAAAAATTACTGCAGTTAATAAATTTGTTAGCAGGCTGGGGCGGACCTATCCTCATCTGCAAGGAGGGGTGCAGGTTTTCCATGGGGTGGTGCACGAGGGAGACTTACTGACCACTCTCCTCCGCAGTCTGCAACGCTACTATCCCCACATCACCATTATTTGAGATGGCTGAATGTGCATGTTCCGCCGATCTGTTGCGTTTTACATTATCTTTTGTTTATAAAGTTTATAAACGGCTTTTTATCACGTATGCGTGACTGGACAGTTGCTGTGGCACAGTACAGTAAATTTGCTTGTTAAAATACAGTATATTTGAAAATATGGATGTACAACAACCTCGACATGTTTACATATTTAACCATGATATTTAACTGAAGCATTCTGAGTATTTTCGTGTGAACTCACAAATCAATTAAATCGTTTCGAGAAATCGACAGTAAAAGTTCCGCTAATCGCTATTCGAAAGGCAGAAAATGTATGGTCAAGCAGATTTTCCTAGGGTGGTGCTGCACTTCTCTAGAAAGAGTGGTGTGCTAGACACCACTAGGTGGGATGCACCCCCCTGCACCCCCACCGTAGGTCCGCCCCTGCCGACAAGCATTGAATGACTTACTAGAACAGTGATGTTCATTGCAATAACCCGACTGAGTGAGGTCTCCCTCACACGGATCACCATTATGTGCAGGGCGAGGATTGGTACATGTTCTCCCTCGTACATGAGTTCCATTCCCACAATCCTTTGTACAATCCGTCCAACGGCTCCATTCACTGAAGTTACCGTGAACTGAAAATGAAGTTCAAAATTTCGTATTATATTAATTGAACTTTGAAATTTATATCACAGTCGGTTTCACAGAACCTTTGCCAAAATGTTCCAACTTTCAAACTTCGTTCCGAAGTTCGTTTCGAAGTTCACAAGTTATAGTAGTTTTATTTACCCACAAATAATATTTACAAGTTGAATATTTAAGAATATATAAACGGGCTAGAGACCTCTGGAAATCCTGTTGGACTTTTAAGACGAGGCCCCTATAGTTTTAGTGTTCAGTAATATTGAAATTCACAAGCCGGTTTGGAAACAAGATAGGTCCGTGGATTGAAAGAAGCCAATCAAATACTTAGTTTACAAACCAATTTGTGAACTTATGAACTTGGGAACTTCAAATTTTTGAAGTTCCGAACATCTTGGCAAAAGTTATGTGAAATCGACTGTAAAGGACATTGGCAATAAGAGTTTAGTTTGTCTCATTGAAAAGAACTCTTAAGATTATATATTAAAACTCTATTACCAATTTGTCATATCTTGCTTAGTTCTCGAAATATTTAGACCGAAATTAATGGCTGTCCGCCATCTTGAATTAATTCTTGACCTCATTAACTATGGTTTTGATGACGTCAGGGGTTGGGGTAACCATATAAAACTACTCTAAAATGACCGAATAACAATTCAAAATTGTTCCAAATGTTTTTAATCATTTCTAAATTTCAGACAGCAACCAGAAACGAAATTTCGGACCCATATTGATCGCTTACTCTCAAGATAAAAAACTAGCGTGACCCCTCTCTTGACGTAACATGCATATCCTCAATAATCCAAGATGGTGAACAGCTCACTTTTTTCAGTCGAAGTATTTTGAAAACTAAGCAAGATATAGACAATCCACCAATTGAGCAATTCAGGCATATACATGTACAGTACTTCTGTAATATTTAATATCATTGTTTTGGCAATTTAAATTTGAACTCTAAACCATCGCTTGTGTCAACATTCAAGAGGTATGAAATGTAACACACAAAAAACTGTCTTACCTGGGCAGGGATGTACATTGCAATCTTGTGTTTGTTTTTTCTCCCCGACACAGTCCGCAGCCCCAGGGGCGGGAGGAGGGTTATTACATAACCTAAAGCGTTCTTGATGTCCCCCACCACACGCTTTGTCACACGGGATCCACCATGACCAGTCTGACCACTGGGCAGGAGGAGGGTCTAACAAGAAAGTAATATCAAAATAAATATACCTGTAAAAACCAGGGTTGTTGAAGAGGAGGTCAAAGGAGGGCTGAGCCGCAGCCCCCCTCCCCCTTCCTTGGGAGCTCAGGGGTCTAGGTAAAACATTTTATGTCGATTGGAGGAATCAACTTCCCTGGATCGGTTCTTTGCAACTGCAGGGTTGAAACGATGTGGATGATTTTAGTAATCTGTCTTGACCACTATGATCAGTTGAAGACTTGAAGTATGGCGAGTTTCCAATCCAGTCTTTTTAAACAGACGAGTGTTTAACCAAGCAATATGATCAACAAATTACCTAGCGTGTGTCACAGACCTTTAAATGGAAGGTCTGTGACACAGACTACATGCAAATTACCTGGGCATGGAATATAATCGTACTCGTTACATGGCATGACTTCAATATCGTGACCAATACAATAATTCCCACCATTCCTCTGCACAGGATTATCACAAACTCTAGTCCTCACTTCCCCTTGATGACCACAGGTTTTACTGCACAGTGACCACGGGGTCCAAGTAGACCAACCTCCGTTCTCTAAAAAAGCCAAGAATATCTCGAGTGAGACACCATTATTGTTTTGACAAGTACATGTTCTGGTGGTTTTGCCCCCTGCTTAACGTTATTCGGTACAGTTTTCAAAATACTATTATAATTATAATAATATACATAAAACATTTCTCAATTCTGATTGGCTAAGAGCAGTGCAATTTTTTCAAAATACAGTGCCAAAAAATGAAATACAGCGCAAATTTCATTGACTTTCTTTCATGATACAATAACAAAGATAGCCAATAAGATACAGCAATTTCCAGCAGAAATAATTAAAAAAAAAAACATTTGGCAGTTTTTAGGAGTGGCAAAAATGTAAAAAAATGGCCGGCATTAATTTTTTCATGTATATATCATTAATAAGTATTAGTATAATTACATAGGTGATTATTGAAAATTCTCCACGCTGATTGGTTGCCGTTGAGGTGATTATTACGCGATAATCACCTAAGCGATTTTCAAAATGGCGGCCGAAGCCGTTTTGTCAATTAAATGACGAAGAAATGTGTATTTTTTATTTTTTTCTAAATAATCACCTATGAAATTATACTAAAACAATTATTCACTTCAGGCTCGGTGATTATCGTGAATAAAAACCTCGACTTCGTCTCGGTTTTTATTCACCGATAATCACCTCGCCTTCGGTGAATAATTGTTAAATAGTATGGTTTCTCGTGCAATTTGAAAAAACATACACTCGTGAGTTTTCAAAGACTTCAAATTGCAGTCGCGTCCTTCGGACTCGTGCAATTTTGATCGTCTTTGAAAAACTTACTCGTGCATGTTTTTTCCAAATTGCACTCGAAACCATACTATTACCTATACTTATTATTATATAATTATATTGTTTATTATATTGAATTTCTCGCTCATTGGTGAGCGGAGGTACCCGCGATTTTAACGTCGTTACCGGAGAAGACGCGTCTAACCATTTACTGACGTCAATGTAAAGGTAGCACTTTCTCCTCAATTATTTTACAGTCAAAGCGGATGTTCTCTTGCAAGCAACAATGCAATATTGTCCCACAATATTGCAATTTTGATAGGCAGATTGCTTTGAGCAATTTGCAACCGACGCGAACAAGTTGAAATTCACAAAAGATTTGTAAACAAAGCCTCTGATTGGACTATAAGAAAGAGGGAAGCACCAATCCAGTTGCTCGGACTATTTGATTGGCTTTCCTCTTATAGTCCGAGCAACTGGATTGGTGCTTCCCTCTTTCTTATAGTCCAATTAGAGGCTTTGTTTACAGAGGGTCCTGAAGGGGGGGGGGGGGGGGGGGGGGG